TCTATGGAAGTAGGTTGCCCAATCTTCCTTCCGAGGAGTGGCTGGTGGGTCTGAACCGCTAGCCTTCTGGTCAGCAGTCAAAATGCCTTAGGCACTACGCCACCAGAGCTCCTACGAATTGGCATGTAAGTGTGAGACTTGGCACCCTAGGAACCTCAGGAATGAAGGGAGTTTCCAAAGTTGTCTGAAGAATAAGCACCTCCCTTAACTTGAATAATATTCAAAGTGAACTCTGGCATCTGTGTTGTTGTTAGTTGCTACAGAATCAATTTCTATTCAGTGTGACCACGTGTGCAGTGTAGAGCTATTCTGTAGGGCTGTCAACTTTGTGACTTTTTAAAAGCAGATTGCCAGGCTGGTCTGGTTCAAACCACCAGCCAATCGGCTAGTACAGCAATCAAGTGCTTAACCATATGTGTTACCCAGGACTCCTCAGAGTGAACTCTAAACTGATTTATGCAGGAAATTTTCTGTGAAAATCAGAACTGAGAAATCTTAAGTGCAAAGAGGATCACCAAATGCTATAAAAGATCAGTGCCCCCCAACATAAAATTGAAACTAAAATGGACTGAAGTCTGGCATTCCTTCTCTTAAAGTTGGCCTGTGGGAACTGGCAATCCATAATATAACCATCTGGAAACTCTAAATACAAATTATATAAACAAAGAATAATCCTAGCATATTTTGTTGAATTATGAAGTCTGATAACCATTTAGGAGCTCTGGTAGCATAGTGCCTAAGGCACTTGACTGCTAACCAGAAGGCTGGCGGTTCAACCCACCAGCCACTCCTCAGAAGGAAGGTTGGGCAATCCTACTTCCGTAGGGATACTGCCTCGAAAACCCAAGGAGGGGTCGCTATGAGTCGGGGCCGACTCGACGGCAAATAACAACAACAACAACAACAACAACAACCATTTAAACCAGTAGCTTGTGTCCATTTGTACTCCTTCCTATGAAGTCTGAGTTCTTATTCCATGCCTGTATTTGCTTTATGGGTCCTTTACCTCCAGAAAAAGCCAACCAAAGCAAATATCCTTTACTTGACTTCAGTCAACTTTAGAATTCACTCAAGCTTATAATTTTCCCCTTCATTCAGTGCCACATTTACTGAAATTTTCACATATGCTCTGAGTCCTGAAATTTCTTTACTATTCACACTTTGACATTCTTGGATGCAGACTCTATTCTAACTATTCTGTTGAAATGATACCACTTATTATGCATTAAAAGTCCACTGCCTACTAAAGGGATCAGTGCAGGAGATCCTAGATAGAGTGGGAGAAAAATGTGGAATAAAACTCAAAATCATAAAAAAGACCAGGTTTACTGGTTGGTAGAGACTGGTGAAATCCCTAAGACTATGGCCCCTAGTCACCCTTGGGGCCTGGAATTGAATTCATTCCTGTGGATTTCAGCCAAACAATAGACAGGCATATAGGATGAACACTTACACCAGGGAGGTACACTCCTAGATCAATCAATCATGGGAGATCAGAAGGACAGTATTTACACAGGGAGATAGCTCAGAGGGCAGGAATGCATAGGAAAGAAGGACACAGGAAAGAGGTAACTAACTACCGGAAGGAAGTGGGAAGAGAGCTGTTATATTATGGGGATTATAATCAATGTCATGAAACAAAATATGTATGAAGTACTGTATGGAAAATGAATTTTCTCTGTAAACTTTCACCCAAATTTGGAAAAAAAAAAGTCAATTATTTCCTAATTGCTTAATCAACAGCCTTACTGTAACAGTTTATTTACCTGTTTATCTTTGTGTAGGTGATGTTTCTTACCAAATCTTCTTTGAACTTTTCCTTTGTCTATTGTGAACTCATGATATTCTTAGTGTTCCTCTAACCCCTCCAGCTCTTTCCATCCCCTTTACTGGCTCTTGTTCCTCTTTCCAAAATGCAGAAAACTCTCTAAGACTTCATATTTTGTTTTCAGTTTTTATCTATATAAAGGATCCCTTGCATTCCTAAGCTTGACTCATCAATTTTGTTGATCTCTATCTGCAACCCTGATGTCTCAATTTTAGTCTCACATTTCAGATAGTCTGCTGTATATTTCCATTCAACTGTCATCTCAAATTCACTCTTTAAAACTGAATTCCTTATCATTCTCCTGAAAAATCAACTCTTCACCCTGAATTCCTTATTTCTGTTAATAGTTCTTCTTCTAATCCTGAATGCTTAGACTCTTCAAAGATCTTTAGCTTCTCTCCTGTGTTCCACATCACCTTTAGCTGATCATTCTCTCAAAATGTTTTTTATATCTGTTCATTTTTCTCCATCCCCACAACTGGCACCCTAGTAGAAGTATGCTACTTTAGGTATTGTAAGTTTATGTCCAAAACTCCTGCCAACAAGGTCCTCCACATTTAGAGGTATAAATTCCTTATACTGGCATTCAAGAACTTCCTCAATTTGGACTTTGGCAGTAGGGTGGGACTGCAAGAATCAGATTAGATTCTTTATTAGTAATCCTATATTTGATCGTAGGAGTCATTTCTAGGAGATTTTGAAAAAGAGTTCCCAATACTTGCTATTTTATTCAAATGCCACCAGTTTTTCCAGAGGTAATTTAACGCCCATGTATATCACTATGCTTTCCCAGAAAATTCTAGCTCATGATGTAAGCTCTTCCTTTTATCCTATTTATACCACTTGTGAGAAATATATTTACTATGATCATCTGTAATACCTGCTGTTTTACTATTTAACTTTTCTCATGCAGTTACATATAACCAAACCAAACCCATTGCCATCCAGTTGACTCCAACTAATAGTGACCCTACAGGACACAGTACAACTACCTTAAAAGATTACCAAGGCTGTAAATCTTTATGCAATCAGACTATCTCTTCTGTCTCCCATGGATCAGCTCATGGGTTTGAACCACCGACCTTTTGGTTAGCAGCCCAATGCTCTAACCATTGCACCACCAGAGCTTCTTGCAGTTACATGTAGTAGACACTAAATAAACTAACATCTATACCACTGATCAAAAAACTATTACAACACTGATTTAGAAGTTCACTTACATTACTTTTCATGTTTTGGAGAACAACAACAAGAGATTAGAAACTACTATAAAAACCAAAAACCAAACTCATGGCCGTGGAGTTGGATCTGACTCATAGCGACCCCTCCCTTGGTTTCTGAGGCGGTATCACTACAGAAGTAGATTGCCAAATCTTCCTTCTGAGGAGTGGCTGGTTGGTTTGAACCAGCACCCTTCTGGTTAGCAGTCAAATGCCTTAGGCACTACGCCACCAGAGCTCCCAGAGTCTACTATGTTGTTGTACTGTTGAGTTGGACCTGACTCATAGTAACCCCTCCTTGGGTTCCTGAGGCAGTATCACTACGGAAGTAGATTGCCCAACCTTCCTTCTGAGGAGTGGCTGGTGGGTTTGAACTGCCAGCTTTCTGGTTAGCAGTCAAGTGCCTTAGACACTGTGCTGCCAGAGCTCCCAGAGTCTACTATAGGTATACCTTTTTTAAAACAAACCAGTCTAGTCTACAGAATATTTCTTTTTTTTTTTTTCCCCTCCCCTTCCCTCCCACCCTTGGTAACCAACAAAGAAAATGTCCTTCCATATATAAGTATTTCCTTGACTGTTACAATAATGAACTAATACAATATTTGTCCTTTTGTGATTGACATATTTCAGTCAGCATAATGTCCTCCAAGTTCATCCATGTTATGCAGTGTTTTGCAGATTCTACATTATTCTTTAGGGTTGCATAGTATTCCACTGTGTGTATGTACCATAGTTTGGTTATCTATTCCTCAGTTGATGGACACCTAGGTTGTTTCCATCTTTTGGCTATTATAAATAGTGCTGCAATGAACATGGGGGTGCATATGTCTCTACAGAATATTTCTGAAAGATTATTTTCTAGCACTCTACCAGCACTTATTAACAATCCCACATTCAAAAGGAATAGTGCTCTTAAGATATAACTTGTAACAGCCTATTAATTCTTGGCTCTGTATGTTCATCAAGCAGTTTCAGATACAAGACATAATCTGAGCACTGTACCACTAGACTGTACAATATCAATGATATCAGAGGGAGGGCACTGTAGAATATGCTTTCTAGTACTTAGTATGGGGCTTCATCCATATTTTAGGATAACAGCTCTGCACTGTGAGAGGAGGTTCTCAATATAATGTGCTTTCAGACACAGATACATCATTTTTTATTGTGTATTTTCTTGGGCCTCTTAGTGTTATCGTTAGTGAAATCTATTTTAGTTGAATGCTAACAGTGGCAGTACATGTAGTATTTCTACCTATTTCTCACAATAAATCAGACATTCTTAAGCCATTTAGTATATGAACTCCTTCAATATAAGCTAAGGAGAGTATTAATCATTTTTAACACTAGCTGTCATCATTATTAAAAGCTACAGTTATCACAGATAAAGCTTCCAAAGGGAACTTGATGAAATGCAATTCTCACAAGAGAAGTAAGAGTTTTTTTTATTTTATATTCTAAGATACTTAACAATAGGAGCTACAACCTAAAGAAAGGCTTAAGAATACAGGGTAAATATATTTATCAGATAAGAAATTTTCCAGGGTAATTTTTTTTTTTTTTTTAAATGTTTCTGTTGAAATTTCTAAGACTTGTCCTAGAACCCAGGACCTTGAAAGCTTAAAAAAAAGAATTTACTTCCTTTGTTTCTCTTTTTTGTATGGGCTGTAGATTCCCTTTCCTAGGACAGTGGAAGCTAATATCCATTTTTTGGAGGAAATCCTAAGAGTAAATGAAGGGATTTTTCGCTCTTCTTTGATCAAGAATACAGTGAAATTTACCAAAACTCAATGAGAACATGATGTAATTTTACTGCAGAGGGATCTTGAAAACAGAAAAGAATTTTTGGTTTTCTTTTTTAAAAGGGAGAGTTTCTGATATAAGTTTTGTAGAATAGTTTAAAAAGAAATGTTACATTAAACGTACTGTTGTAAGAGACTGATTTTCCTCACCTTTTTGGATCTCCAGCAACGGCAGTAGACAGCTTTATCTCCCAAATCCTCCATGTCAAAAGCATGTACTACCTTGGGGTTGTCTTTCTGGATATGAAGGTTTACCATAGATTTGTGGCGATGATCTTTAACATAAAACCTCTTGTAAGCTAGATAACCAATTGCAGCTGTCCCAGCAGCAATGGTCACCGCTGCGATCCATTCAACTACAGCAGGGAAGAAAAAGAGGAATCGTAATCAAAACCAAAGTACACACTAATAATCTAACATGAATGTTCAGGAAATTTCAGTTTTGGAATATTAAGTTTCCTAATAGTCAAAGGTTTTACAACAGACAAAGGTTAACAAAGTGACCAGAATACACTGGTATTTGTCCTTTGTTAGGATCTTCCCCAGTCCTTACTGAGGCAACTGTCTATTGAGATAGAAGAGGGAAACTTAAAAATTATTCTAAAGATGAAGAGGAAAAACAAAGCTCATTAATCTTTTAAAATTGCTCATAAACAGATTTAAAATAACGTGTGACCCTGCAGGTATTCACTGCTTTTAAAAAAAGAAAAAGAAAAAATACCCTGAAACATAAAAATTCAGATTATAAACAAAACAAAACATCAGAAGGCAATATATTAATGACTCATCAATTCATTTAAATAGCAAGGTCCCTAAGTGATTTTAAAATAATTTGATTTACTAAAACTCAGTTGCAACTACTGTATACAGCATAACTACAAACAGAATTGGTATCAGAACAAAAAACTATGAAGAATAAAACAAAACCACCCTTAATAGCCACATTCAAAGAAATTTATCAAGCAGGATTCTGGGTTTCAAAGTCATTGAAAAGTGTGTGTTTTTTTTTAATTTTCAAAGTGCTTTCTCATCATTAAAACAAAAATCAGAATGTACTAATTCCATATTTTGTAGAAAACATGGCTAAAAGAATTACAGTCAAAATTTTCCTTTAATAAGTTCTAAATTTCTATTATCCACCAGTGGGTGATTATGTGAATTCTCTGTGCTATTTGAAATTTAATGACATTATGCTATTTAATTACTTGCTTGAGTAACAGGCCATCTAGTTAGTCTTTTCGGGTAGCTTTTTTAAGGAGTCCTCAGAAACCCAAACACTTAACAACTACCCCAGCTCCAAGGAATGATGGAGAGAAGAAAGTTCGGCATAGTCTGGTTTGCCTCAGTCTCAGAGGAGAGTTGTCTATTCCCAGCATGGAAGGGGCTGCAGGAAGAAGTTGAACAGGGGTCAGGATAAACACACTGGACTGCTAGCTTCCCAGTACTTCCTGAGTCAAATCTTCACAGTGTTTGATATAGGTTCCCAGACTATCAAATAAAGCCCTAGAGAGTTAAGTACAAAAAACACATTCTAAGCCAAATATAAACATACACATAATGAATAATTAACTGTATGGCTTATTTGCATCATTGATTCAAATTTCTTATTTCCCTAATGTGATGAATCAAAATACCTAATCGTGCCTTACATAAAATTGGAGCTCAATCTTATAACACTAATGGAAAGGAACACCCAATCTCATATTTGGTTCCTTTTATCTTGTTCTTATAGCTTATTTAATAATTTAGTTTTTATCAAATGTTTCTAATCAGCATGTTCTTAAATTCTATTATCAGCAGTATTTTTTCTCTACAAAGCAATTTAGAATTTAGGTTGTTTTCCTTCCCACATTTCCATTCTACCTTGTTATAATCCCCTAAAATAAACATTGTGTCCTCCCAGGTGCTACAAGACTGAGAAAACAAGTTAATAAGTCATTTGACAACTTCAATCCTTGGCCTCAATGAGAGGATGTTTTTAACTACACGTTTTGTACAGAAGTTGTCTTGAATTTTAATACCGCTTCATGGTACTACCCTGTGGTGAATCCAAGCAGGGCTGCCAAGTGTGTACTACTTCTAGCTTGATTCATAATCTCCTTTTTGATGCATTATTCACCATGGAAGTCCCTTGAGGAAATATTACCTGTAACAGGAGTTACAGAAATCCACATATCAGCTAATGGAAGCTCCTTTTGAGTAGTTAATGTAGCTATCACAAAATGGGCTTTTAAAGCTGCTTTGCATAATATCTTTGCTAAATGTTATCTTTAGTAAAAACTTAAAAAGGGAAACTAAGAGACTAAGGTGACACAACTCTTTAAATCTATTACATTTAATGACTCTCCATTTGTAGGTGAACTGTGAAGTACTCTCTGTTGTTGTTGTTATGTGCCCTCAAGTCAGCCCTGACTCATAGTGACCCCTCCTTGGGTTTCCGAGGCAGTATCACTACGGAAGTAGGATTGCCCAACCTTCCTTCCAAGGAGTGGCTGGTGGGTTTGAACCACCAGCCGTCTGGTTAGCAGGCAAGTGTCTTAGCCACTATGCTACCAGAGCTCCCTAGTGTATTTGTTTTGATGTTGTCTACCTAGTTTCCTGAAGGCAAGACTTGGATTTGTGGCAACCCTGTGTGTGTGTCAGAGTAGAACTGTGCTTCATAGAGTTTTCAATGGCTGATTTTTCTGAAGTATGTCATCAGACCTTTATTCCAAGGTGGCTTTGGGTGGACTCAAACCTCTAATCTTTCAGTTAGTAGTCAAGCACTTTAACAGTTTGAATAACCCAGGGATTCCTTAAAGGTGCCTACATATGGCAAAAAGTCTTGAGACCCAAAGAACAACTACATTTGGCTAGGATTGTGTCCTGATAGAAAAAGAGAATACTATTGGAATTTCTATCTGAAACTCATGACAGATCAAAAGAATTTCTCCTACCCATTAAAATAATCTTCTTTTATTTTCATTTCTCCTATTACGTAGTGCCTAAGGCACTTCACTGCTAACCAGAAGGCTGGTGGTTCAAATCCACTAGCCACTCCTCGGAAGGAAGATGGGGCAATCTACTTCCGTAGTGATACTGCCTTGGAAACCCAAGGAGGGGTAGCTATGAGTCAGGTCTGACTTGATGGCACATAACACAACAACAAGGCACTTGACTGCTAATCAGAAGGCTGGCGGTTCAAATCCACCAGCCACTCCTCAGAAGGAAGGTTGGGCAATCTACTTCCGTAGTGATACTGCCTCGGAAACCCAAGGAGGGGTCGCTATGAGTCGGGGCCGACTCGACGGCACATAACAACAACAACAACATCACTAACTGAATACATATAGTAGCTATTTTTTTTTAAAGCTTCTACCTCCTTCTGATGTTTTGATAGTGAACAAACAAACAAACAAACAAAAAACAGAATAACTGATATGGAAAATAGGTAACTGCTAAGCCATCATTTAAAAAGTGAGAATCAACTCTAGTTATTATCCAACTGCGTCTGTACTATGGGCATATCAAAACATGCGCTGTAACCCTGCCCCCATAAAAAGGTTTACTTATAATCCTATACAAATGCCACAGTACCTTATGTGTGCTAGAAAAATAGCTTTGTTATTTGCTTGAACTGAGTTTTTTTTTTTTCCCCTTCTAAAATCACAGAGCTAGATAAATTCTTAGGAATTATTTTTCTTCCCAAACTGTAACTCTCTAATCTCATTAGGGACAAATATAAGCGTTCCCAGAAGCAAGATAATTGTTGTTAGTTTATCATTTCATTACTGCAGCTTGAATCAGCCTTTTCTGGCAAAAAGCTTTAGATGTCAGTGGCAACTTCAGGGAAAAAAAGGAAAAGAAAGCTAATTGGAGATAGACACAAAGATGATGGGCTTATAAGTCAACAATTAGAGAAAGAGTTGAAAAACAGATAGTAAACAAAAATAACAAAGCCTAATCAACATTTAGTCCAACTGAATAGGATATATGCCTATTAAAAATGGACAACACAGTCTCAGAGGCAACAAGGGACTTTACCTAGTCCCAATTTGTCAAGATTATTTCACTTGTCCCCTTTCAGGCATTCTTTCAGAACTGAGGTCTAGGAAAATCCTGAGCATTATTTCTGCCTCTTCTGGTTTATTACTCTTTCCTTTTCTATGGACATCTCTCAGGAACTGGTAATCCTCTAAGTAGGTCAAAACTCCACCCCACCTTGTTTAACAATGCTTTCCATGTAACACAAATACCATTAAAGATAAGCCAATATAAAGAATGAAAATACAAGGAAAGATAGTATTTCTAAATAACTCTCCATCTGACTTTCCCTTTGGCAAGTATATACTTTACATAAACTAGTATATTCATATATACTAAAAGCAAACCCCTGCCATCAAGTCAATTTTGATAAATTCTTACAGAAATAAATTTCCTCATCTTCCTTCTGCTGAGCAGCTGGTGTGTTTGAACCACCAACCTTCTGGTTAGCAGTCAAATGCCTTAGGCACTGCACCACTACAGTTCCTTAGTATATACTGTTGTTGTTGTTAGACGCTGTCCAGTCGGATTCGACTCATACCGACCCCTCCTTGGGTTTCTGAGGCAGGAGCTCTGGTAGCATAGTGCCTAAGGCACCTGACTGCTAACCAGAAGGCTGGCGGTTCAAACCCCACCAGCCACTCCTCGGAAGGCAGGTTGGGCAATCTACTTCCGTAGTGATACTACCTCGGCAACCCAAGGAGGGGTCGCTATGAGTCGAGGCCGACTCAATGGCACATAACAACAACATTAGTTGGGAAGTAGATTGCCCCATCTTACTTCCAAGGAGTGGCTGGTGGGTTTGAACCACCAGCCTTCTGGTTAGCAGTCAAGTGCCTTGGGCACTACGCCACCAGAGCTCCTTTAGTATATACTAGTAATTTTTTGTTTTCTCTCTTAAAATTAGTCAGAGATTGAGAACACATAATCTCTTCCCAAACTCCACACCCTTGTTTATAATCCATTCCTTGGCTTTTCTTTACTTATTTTGCTTTTACTAATAGAGACAGAAATCTCACCTGCTTCTTTTCCTTTAGACCCTTGTCAGCCAAAAGCTGACTGTCAACTGCCACAGAATCAGAATGTTCCTCTCAGAGGAGGGGGAGGGGAGCTGTGTTTAAACCAGGGCTCCAAACCTGCTCATTCCTGTTTGACCCCCTGCTGATAATTTGCATTCATTTCCACCTCAGATACACTGAATCAGAATCTAAAGTTTAACAAGATTTTGTTAAACTTTGTATCTGAGATGGAAATGAATGCAAATTATCAGCAGGGGTCAACTGGGTAAGAATCACCTAAGTTTAAACCCTTGGGTCTCTCATAGATTGGTAGCCTGTATCTGGTTACGCTTTTCTGTAAGACCTGGTCTGTAAGTGGTGTTCATTGCTAGTTAAGTAAAAATAATAATGGTAGTAATTTAAATCTGCAATTCCAATTGTCCTACAATCACATTGTTTCTTATATCAACTTACTTAAAAATACCTTTGGCCTCATCTTAAATCTTAACCTACTGTATCAAAGTGTGGAAGTTAAATACTTCCTCTGAGAATTTTAAAAACTTTTTTTTTTTTGGGGGGGGGGCACATTTCAGACACATACAAATGTAGAGGGAATAGTATAATTAACCTTCCCCCCCCATCACCTACCTCCAATCAGTATTAACTCATGGCCAGTTTTGTTTTATCTACATATAACCCCAAATTCCTTTCATTATTCATTTACTTTTTATAACCTAGAAGAGCTACCTTCTTTATTCTTAGTATGAATTACACATTCTTTAGATAAAAAAAAAAAGTCTCAAGAATTTACAGATCCTAAAGAATATTTTCATATGTTGAAATGAGGTAAAATGAATTGGAAAATTATCAAGTAGTTTCAATTAAAGACACAAGGATATAAAAGAGAATAAGAATTTATGAAATGTAGTTTTGGTTACATGGTTTGGAGCAGACAGGATTTAGGATGAGCTCTGGTAGCACAGTGCCTAAGGCACTTGACTGCAAACCCACCAGCCACTCCACAGAAGGAAGGTTGGACAATCGACTTCCGTAGTGATATTTCCTCGGCAACCCAAGGAGGGGTCACTATGAGTCAGGTCCAACTTGACGGCACATAACAATAAGCAACACGGTGGACAAACTGACAATAAGCAACACGGTGGACAAACTGACCCTTATTATGTAACTTGAGGGTGAAGCAAAGTAAAAATAAGTGATTTGAGGGAAAGGAAGGTTAAGGGCTGCCTTTAAAAATATCTGGCTTAGTTTTTTTTTTTTTTTTTTAAGATGAAGGTGAATATGAAAGACTTCAGGCTGAAAAGAAGAAAACTGTTGTGATCCAGGGGCTGATAATTTAAGAACAATAGGTATCACTGGGAGACAAGGGCTTAAGGAAACAGAAGACAGTGGTATCTGGAGGATATGGGGAGAGAATGGTTCCAGAGTTGATCTCTCTCTGGCAAACAGAAGGGAAGGAATTAAAGATAAAAGACGATTCAATGAGATTTGGATGTATCAAGGAGCAGGACTTTTCAGAAGTTTCCTAAAGGTCATCTGCTGAGCATGAGAAGGGGTCACAGAAGTTGGGAACTCTGTGGTAGTGAAGATATTTTAATCCTTTTGTGGCCTGTAGGGCACAAAGTGCCGAGCTACACTTTCTGCCTCTGTGGTTTAGTGAAAAGGTTCTATTCCACTTTTAGTGCAGGCTGCCATTTGGTAAGTGCCTCTATAACTACTGGAAACTGTAGATATGGGCTTCATCTCATCAACACTAGCACCAGAGTCTCCTTGGGACATATACGTCCCACTAACTTATAAAAATCCGTATTATCTCAAAAAATTTTTGCCTTTTCATTCACAATGCCTTCCATGACTGAAAGCACATGGTTTCAACAAAAAATTCAAAGTGGAAAGTAACTGGGTCTTGAAAGGGTTAAAGTCAGAACTCATAATAAACTAATAGTATCATCCTCCAAAGTGGAATCCAGAGCCATCTTACTGACCAGGATCTTGGACTGTATTTCAGTTTCCAACCACTCATCCTCATTGCCTAGATCATTGCCATTATATATAACCCACTCATCATTTTTCTTATGAAGAATTATTATTTTTCTTATGATCACCCTCTTCTATTTCTCTCCATCAAAACTAAAAGACCTAAGTAGATTTCCAACCTGTGGAAATTAATTGGTTTTCAAATTAGGTGTAGAACCAAATTTTGTGAAATTTAAAGTTTAAGTGACAAATGTCTCCAAGACATTCTTTGCCCACTGTATTTGAGGAGGAATATGCTGGTATAAGATTCACAAAGACTCTAGGCCTTTCTATTTACTCCTTAAAAACAATCTTTATGTTCTTAACTCAAAATCATAAAAAAGACCAGGTTTACTGGTCTGACAGAGCCTGGTGAGACCGCTGCGACTACGGCCGCTAGTCACCCTTCAGGTCTGGAATTGAAGCCTGTGGCTTCCAGGCAAACAACAGACAGGCATATAGGGTGGACATTTACATCAGGTAGACAAGCTCCTTAGAAGGATAAATCATGGGAGAACCAAACCAAACCCACTGCTGTGGAGTCGGATCCGACTCATAGCAACCCCTCCTTGGGTTTCGGAGGCAGTATCACTATGGAAGTAGATTACCTAACCTTCCTTCTGAGGGGTGGCTGGTGGGTTTGAATTGCCAGCCTTCTGGTTAGCAGTCAAGTGCCTTAGGCACTACAACCACCAGGGCAGTTTTTACACAAGGGATAGCTCAGGGGGCAGGAATGCATAGAAAAGAAGGACACAGGGAAGAGGTAATTATAGGAAGTGGGAAGAGAGCTGTTACTTTGTGGGGAATTGTAGTCAATGTCATGAAACAAAATGTGTGTGATCTGCATAGAAAATGAATTTGCTGTGTAAACTTTCACCCAACTCACAATACAATTTTTTTTTTTGGGGGGGAGAAGTACGTCAGAAAAAAACTTTGTTTTTAGGTGAAATGAGAAGTAATTATTCCTCACAGCAAAGTTCAGTACTTCATCTTTAAGAACCTGCTTCACCAAGCAATTTCTTAACCCTAAGAAAATGGCAAACTATTTAGAAAGACATCTTTGAATGTCTCCATGGCTAAAACACCAAAACCCAGAAAGTCTTGTGATTTCAGGAAAGACTAGGCTGCAGAGAGGGCTGAAAAGTCCTACAGACTCACCTATTTCACATTTTAATAAACACTAGACAAACAGTTTAGTATCCATTTACCCAAAATGTCCTCACATTTTAAATGAAAGAGTCTTGGAATCTTTCAGCCCATCTCACATTTGTGCAAATAGCCTTAAAAATCGAAATTATCAGTGGCACAAATCACATTAACATCTTATTTTAAACAGTAGTGTTATTCTTTTTTTTTTTTTTTTAAAAAAAAAAACAAAATTACTCCCTATTTTAAATGGACTAGAGAACCCTCAAGATATGTATCCTTTGAAAACACTTCTACAAATAAATCACCTTCCATGTCCCTCAATAGTAATTAACAATGTCATGGATTATGACCCTCACTCCTCTGCCTGGTCAATTTTGGCAACACAAGTGAATTCTCCAATTTACTCAGCCCAAGGCATCTGACTGCTAAGCAGAGGGCTGGTGGTGCAAACCCACCAGCCACTTCCTTGGAAGGATGATTGGGCAATCTACTTCCCTAGAGATATTGCCTCAGAACCCAAGAAGGGGTCGCTATTAGTTGAATGGTGGTGCAGTGCCTAAGGCATTTGACTGCTAACCATAAGGTTGGTGGTTCAAACCCACCAGCCACTCCCCAGAATATGAGGCAATCTACTTCTGTTGATTTACTGCCTTGGAAACCCAATGGTGGTCACTATGAGTCAGAATCAATTCGTTGGTAGTGGGTATTCCAAAACCATGACTCTAGTTGGCAGGGATTTTTTTTTTTTTTTTCACATTACCTTGCACTTTAGATACTCAGTATTTCCTGAATCAATCAATGGGCTATTTCTACTTGACTTCTGGATAATATTTTTACCTTTATTAAACTATTGTTACAGGTAACAAAACCTTGGGGTCTGGCGTTTTTATACCTTGACAGAAATCACACATACCATGTAACTTGGACACAGTATTAAATTAACAACTGTATCACCAGCAGGAATCACTAAACATCTTCTATAAAGTATCTTATTTTTTATTAGGCCTTCTGCGAAGTGTTGTTTTTAAATACTCGGTACTAGCAGAAGGGAAGCAAGGCAGAGAAAGCTGACCGCTCAACAAGCTCGGTGGTCAATTCTCCCTCCTGGATTATCTCAGATCACCGAGGGCCAGATGCCAGGGGTGTAATAAAAAACTGGGAAAACGGAAAACCTCGGATTGGGTTTCTTTCTTTGTGGGGGGTTAAGTACAAAACTAAAATGAGATTAGTCATGCATCACTTCAGGACCGCAGGGAATCAGGGTTCTGATTCCACGTCGATTGAAACATGAGAAGGGGGTACCTTTCTCTACCCTCCCTCTTCTTTTTTCCAGGCCGTGTGTGTTAAGAACACAGGCGTCTCAGGGGAGAACAAGAAAACGCTAGTAGTAGCGTTGGCAGCTATTATAGTTGGGCTGGTCAGAAGAGACGTGGTACAGATCTGCGTAGATGCCTGCATGATCACTACTGCCCTGTGACACCGCCAATCCATACCCTGACCTCGCCCCCTTTCCCAGTTCACCCAGAGCCTGCAGCTGGGCCCAGCCCTTGCCCTTCTGCATCTCAAGGTTACAGGACCCGCGAGTGCGCAGGGCACTGGTTAAGTACCCGGAGACGAGCAGAGTACGCCGCCAGGTGCGCAGGCCTCCAGCCTAGCCCGTTCCCAGGCCCCACTTCACCTCGTACTCCGGAATTGGAAGTCAGACTCATGGCGCAGTCGCTCGCAAGGCGTGTGCACTGGATACTGAGAACACTAACGGAGCTAGCGCGGACAGCTGGAATAAAGGTGCGAGGAGCGTCCTAAGGGCACAGACACAGGGCTGCTACCGCGCAGGCGCCGTGGTGGACAGCAAGCACGTGTGTGCTATCGTCCCTTGGTTTATGCTGAGCATGCGCGGAGCCTCGGTACCAGACTTTAAGGAAGTCTAGAGTCTGGATTTTGACAGCCGCAGGAGGGGGAAGAGGCCTAGAGACTAGCAACTGAGTTTGCGCAACCCTAAGGGGCGTGGCCTGGGGGGTGGTGGCCGGGAGGCAAGGCCTTGGGAACCAAGAATCCGGGCCAGATTTTACGTCTCTTCCAGGTGTATGTGCTCTTAAGGGTAGAGAGGACAGGTGCTAGTAGGACATTTGTCATAATCCGATATCTAAGATTGTACCCAACATTTTCTTGCTCAGACCGATATCTGCAAGGCCAGGCTAGTATTCATATGAGGTGCCAGTGACAGGCACCCAGGAATCGGCGATAGAGTACCTCCGGAACCTCCCCTAGCTCCCAGCGTACATCCTTTTCCTCTGCCTTTGACCTGATTAGTCATCTACTCAGGACTTTGGAATCTGCACTATCTAAGGGTTGGGTGGAGGAGAGAAAAAAACTGATAATTTCTTAAAAGTTTCACAAACATTTAGTATCATTTTCTATTTCTACACTCTCAAGTGTCAATTTCAAAAAGGGCAACAATCTGGGGACTAGGATTAATTTGAAAGGTGTTCTGAAAGTGCGTCTTCTATCAGCTGCCTGCTTTACTCCTACTGTTTTTGTTCGGAGTGGAAATTGGAGGGAGTTGACTGAAATTAAGAAGTAGCATTCCAAGCCAAAACTGCTGCGTCCCTAATCTCCTAATACGTGATTGCTCCTTATAACTGGAAGTCCAGGCGTCCTTGAGTCGAAAGCACAGAAATGCATCGCGAATGAATGAAAGCTCTGCAGCACTGGTGGCATCCTAACGCCATCTCCCGGGTAGGAGGAGGGGAGGAGTAAGAAGGGCCTCAAGTTTGCAGTACCCATCCAGGTCGCGGTCAACTCTTCTCCCGCCCCCCGCCCCCGGTCCCACAGCCAGCCAGCTCAGCAGCGGGGGTCCCGTCGGACACCCTTTGGGCATGCTCAATAGCGGCGGCGGCCGCGGGTCGCGCAGTCGGAAGCTCGCGGCGGCGGCGGAGCAGGCGGTGCTGACGCGCGCGCGGCAGCTGAGGGGACTGGAGGACGGCGGGAGGGGGCGGGGGCGCGGGAGGTGGGGCCGCTGTCGCCGTCAGGGCCCCAGGGAGCGCGGAGCGCCTCCGCAGCCGCTCCTCCGCTCGGTTCCGTCTCCTGGGCAGCGCCTGGGCCAGAGGCCACGGCGGCAGGGGAGTGGGAGCTGGGAGCCACGCTCCACCGAGAGTTGGGCAGGGGAGTGCCCGCGCCTCGGCGGCGTCATGGGCCCCTTACCCGGGCCTCAGCGGGCACCAGCGGCGGGAACCCCCGGGCCTCCTCGCGGCCGAGCCTGAGCGTGCGACCCCCTGTCTTCCCTGCGCACCTTCCCTGCTCCCTTTTTTTCTTGCTTTCGCCGGGGCCGCCGTCACCGCTTCAGCTCTCCGTTATGGCAACGGAGCCGCCATCCCCTCTCCGGCTCGGGGCTCCTGGTCCCCCCGAAATGCGGACCCCGCCGGCGACCGAGGCCGCCCCCGAGGGCACCCCGCAGTCAGTGGGCAGCAAGCTCCGCTTCCTCAACGGCTGTGTCCCTCTGTCGCATCAGGTGGCCGGGCACATGTACGGGAAGGACAAAGTGGGTAAGTGGGGGTGGCGCGGGGCTCGCCGCTACCCTTCCGCCTCCGCAAGCCCCCTGGCTGACCGATGCAGCCTGGCACTCGGGGGCCCGGCTGGATGTCCCTCCCGGGCTGTAAGACACCCCCTCTTTTTCTCTCTCCCTCGGAACCCCAGACTTATGCTAAAGGGGCTCGTAAAATGGGGGCAATTTCTGGGGTGTGGGGCGTCAGCTTGCCACGGGGGTGGTGGGGAGAAGAGCGCCTGCCCTCCCCAAGGAGGGTGGGTGTTGATTGGAGACGACGTTCTTAGTGAAAATAAGGAACTTCATTTTGACTGGACGGGGAAGTAAATTCTCCCCTGAGTACAAGATCTGTTTATTATAGGCGAGTAGCTATTGCAAAAGAAAGGAATGAAATGCAGATGATGCTAATCTAGTGCTTCTCTTCTGGGTGCAGCTGCATAGCTGGAGGGAAAGAAAAAACAGGGTTTTTTTTTTGAAAGCTTGTCTTGGCCTATCCGGCATATCTCTGCCTGCTCGTTGAGAACGTTTTTTCTAGTGTCTCCTTGATTTCCCTGGTAGGTGTGGTTCCAGTAATACTCAGATACAAGGTAGAAAATGAACTCCGCTGTATTCGAGGGGTACGCAAAGTAGACATCCAGTTGTTTTTCTTGTTTATTTTTGTAAGACTAGATCAAGGCCTTTGTGAATTTACAACTTTCACAGTACAGGCGCTGCCTCAGTGGTGATGGAGAAGTTCATTGTAAGAACTATAACTCACCTAGTTACCCACACTGTTTCCCTAGGCCATGTTTATATGGGGGATTATGATGGATGAGTATGTGAGTATTGCAGGTCATAGATTTGGAAGGGCCACTAGAGACAATTTCGTTTATGCTGGTAGGATGATTCGGGTGTAGGTGTTGATAAGGTAATATTAACTTTTCAGTTGATGGGATCGAGGCCAAGTGACAAGAGTAAGGTCACAAAAATCCTCTGTGGCAGAATCCTGAAACCAAGAGTTTTGGGGTCATGTCTCTGAGCACTGTTTTTGCACCTTGTATTGTGCTTGCAGAAGCAATTCAAACAAGGCTTTTTGAAAATTCACGAGTACTAGTTTGAATGTAGGATGAAATACAGTGATTAAACCTTTGATTTCGGTGTTATTTATTTATTAGCATGCTGTTATAATCAGATAAGCTAACAAATGACTGAGGGTAGCAATGACATTAAAAAAACAAACAAACAAAAAAAACACCTAAAAAACTCACTGCCAGGGAGTTGATTCGACTCATAGTGACCCCTCCTTGGGTTTCCGAGGTGATACCACTTCGGAAGTAGATTGCCCAGTCTTCCTTCTGAGGAGTGGCTGGTGGGTTTGAACTGCCAGCCTTCTGGTTAGCAGTCAAATGCCTTAGGCTCTACGCCACCAGAGCTCCAGCAATGGCATAAATAGAACAAAATATATAATAAACTAGTTGATTGACATACGGCATATTACTTTCTTAAATTGTTTTACCCAGGCTAAGATTTTTTTTTTTTTTCCAACCAAAAATGCCAGTTGATTTTTAGAGATGTTAGGAATATGTTGGGTGGCAAGAGGAAACTAGTCTTAGTGAAAATAAAATTTCTATTGCAAATGAATATTCATATAAGAGTTTCACGCAAGGCATTAAGTGGAGACTAATATAAAATTAGTTGTCTGTTCCAGTGAGGATCATTTAATATGTTGTATTTGTTTTTTATACCACAGTGTATGTTGTTGTGGTTGTTCTGTGCCATCGAGTTGGACCCGACTCATAGCGACCCTCCTTGGGTTTCCGAAGCAGTATCACTACGGAAGTAGATTGCCCCATCTTCCTTCCAAGGAGTGGCTGGTGGGTTTGAACCTCCAGCCTTCTGGTTAGCAGTCAAATGCCTTAGGCACTATGCTAGCAGAGCTTCTACCACAGTGTATCCTTACATAAAATTACCATAAAAGCCAGTTGCTGTGGAGTTGATTATAGCTCATGGTGACCCTGTGTGTGTGAGAGTAGAACTGTGCTCTGTAGGGTTTCATTGGCCGATTTTTTGGAAGTGGATGCCTGGCTTTTCTTCCAAGGCCCTGCTGGGTGGACTCAAGCCTCTAACTTTTGGGTTAACAGCCTAGTGTACATTAACACTACCTAAGATGGGGCAATCTACTTCCGTAGTGATACTGCCTCGGAAACCCAAGGAGGGGTCGCTAGGAGTCGGATCTGACTCGATGTCACATAAAAACAACAACAAGGTACTTAGGGCTCAACATTGCTTGTCTTACAAAAAAAACAAACGGAAAAGGAAACAGCTTACACATGAAGTGTGAAAACTGGTTATGCAGTAGTACATATACTCTTTGTTGCATTTTGTGGGACATTGAACATGTACTGGGCTGAGTAAGAAATTCAGGTTTAAATGCCAGTACTACCACGTCTAGGCTTGTGAACTAGAACAAGTCATTTGACCTGTTAAGGTCACTTCACCTATATAGGAGAATAAATGAATGGAATAATTCCCAGGGTACCTTTCAATTCTAAACGTTTCAAATGGTGCAACTTCAAAACTCACTTTAGAATAGAAAGTATGAATAGAATTTGGAGCTGGGAAAAGGTAAGGAATGGGAGATTGGAATAGGAGGTCAGCCCTAAGATATTTCAAGAAAGATGTCTTGATCTTACTTTTGTTCTGAAAGCATTAAGGTGGAAGGAGAGCCAGGTTAAGTTCCAAGTATTTTCAACATTGTGTTTGTTCTGTGTTCCTTTCCTTTGGGAGCTGTTAGCTATAAAGAAATAGCTTAAACAAATGTTTCTTTGGAGGGGGATGGAGCATTGTGGAAAAATCGGAGGCTGAGGTTGGAGTGGAAGTAGCCGTTTCTGTTGTTGTAGGAGGAAAGTCTTTGTGGCTAAATATGAAAATTTCTACTAGTAATAGAAATGTTCTTTGGCAGTTATATGAGTTTTGGGATCTATAATTTTTGTAGTTTTTATCTTGGTTTCATAAAAAGAGTTTCCTATTTATGAACTTGAGCCTTTAACTTTAGGTCATTTTTTTTTCTTTTATTCCTCAAACTTCTCAGAAATTAAATGAAACATGGTAGGTTTTTATTGTGCCAGTTTTATAGTTTTATAGTTTCTAGTCGAAATTGTTTTCATACTACTGTCAAGGAGTGACTTTATCTTATGTGTGTAAAGAGTCCTTATTTAAATTTTGAGTTTTTTGAAAAATAATTTAATGTGGTCCTTGTCATCAAGGTTATTAAAAATGTAAAATTTCCCTAATTTTCTGGTAATCTTTAACTACCTTCAAGAGACTCTATTATGTTTAAAATAGTAGAGATTCAAAACTTTATCGTGTATTGGTGATTGGTATTTAATTAAAAGTGTAAACATTCACCTGTTATATTTTGAAATCATTATTACTTTTTATCATTAGGAATTGCTGTACTCTGGTTTTATATTGACCAGGCCTTAAGACATGAGAAGGACAGTGGCACATTGAATTAAATGTGGGACAGAATGGTCTTGCTTTAGATGTTTATTGAATGCCTACTATTTTCCAGACTCCGTACTAGGGCTCAGGAACTCTGGGGGTATAGTTGTTAAAGCATTTGCCTGCTAACCAAAAGGTTGGTGGTTTGAATCCACCAGCCATTCTGTGATAGAAAGATGAGGCAGTCTGTTCCTGTAAAGATTTGTAGCCTTGGAACCCTGTGGGGCAGTTCTACTCTGTCCAATAGGGTCCCTATGAGTTGGAATTGACTTGATGGCAGTGAAGATTTTTTTTTTGTATTAGGGCTTTCTGGAAACAATAATGAATAAAATCCAAAATACAGCACCTGTCCTTGGGGACTTTTGGTCTAGTGGGATAGGAGGACAATCAAAGATGACATAAAGAAAACCAAAAACCAAACTCACTGCCATTGAGTCGATTCAAACTCATAGTGACCCCCTTCGGGTTTCCGAGGTGGTAAATCTTTACAGAAATAGATTGCCCAGTCTTCTTTCTACGGAGTGGCTGGTGGGTTTGAACAACCAACCTTCTGGTTAGCAGTCAAATGCCTTAGGCACTGTGCCACCGGAGCATCTTAAAGATTACATAATAAATATAAAATTATGACTATGCTATGAAATGGTAGAAGAGGAAGTAAATTATGCTGTCAAAGTGGGAAATTGGGAGTAGAAGGATGTTTGGCCAATGACCAAACAGAGAAATGAGAGATGACTTCCTCTTGGAAGAAGTAGTTAAGCTGAGATCTGAAGTCAGTCTTGGATTTACCTAAAGGAGGTTGAGAGGACGTTAAAGGCAGTTGGTTGGTAGGTGTCTTCAAGTCAGCTCCAGTGCACAGTGAGCAACCTTAATTATAGCAAGCAAACATTGCCTGGTCTTGTGCCATCTTCATGATTGTTGGTATGTTTTAAGTCTGTTGTTTGTCAGTTGTGTTAATCCAGCTCATTGAAGGTTTCCCTTTGTATTTAGGGAGGAGGAAAAAATTTTAAAAGGTAGCCTGGCAGTGACATGAAGCTGGACAAGTAGATGGAGCCAGGTTGTGTAGGGTCTTCTAGATCTAAGCATCTTTGGTCCTCATTCCAAGAACAGTGAACTGTGAAAAACTTGGTGTTTCCTTAAAGAACACTTTATCTGGTATATGGATAATGAGGCACAATTTTGGGAGGAGACGTAGATAATTAGTTTCGCTACTCCTGTGAAAGATGACAGCCACTTGGACCAAGCAGATAGAGTACAAGTACAAGAAGTTGGGAAAGATTGAAAAGTGAAATTTCAATAATATTTTATTGTTTTTTGGTGGAAGTTTACACAGCAAATTAGGTTCCCAAATTCCATAGATGATTGTCACTTAAGAGTGTAACCACTGCTTATCAAAGTATTTAATAGTGATTTCATTCAGATAGTTTTCTCTGACCATAGATGAACTCTGAACGTGACTTAAAACTTCATTGCACACAGTGGCTGAAAGAACTAGTTTGCCACCCAAATGGCCTAAATAAA